GTTTCTCTGCCATGGTGATATCCCATGCAAATGGTGACCATTTGTTCCCTTTGCCGGGTGACCAATGCAACGGGTGGGTCCTGACTGTCTCTCCCAATCCCCGTTTCAGTCCTGTGGCCACTGCCTATGAAGGCTCGGTTGGCTTTTACCTCTGTAAGTTCCTAAGGGCCGGCCAATTATTTCAGCGGGATCGTTAGTGCTGAGTCACACGAAGCAGGCGAACCGGAGCTTAATTGCTTCCGATTTGGGCTCTGTGTGTGTGTTCTGAGGGGCCCAGCCTGTACGCCCCAGATCCACATCAGCTCAGCATTGCCTAGTGATCCTGAGCAAACAGCATTTAGACAGTTTACGGCTCCCTATGCCCGCGCAGTTGAAGATGTCAGAGACTTGATCTCTCTGCGCCTGCCACCATGTTACATCTCCTCAATGCTATTCATGTTGCCCTTACAGCTTCCTGGTATAAGCAAGTTCTTGGGATTATACAAACTGCTGCTTCTGTTTCCAGTCCAGATTTCTAGAAGTGAAACCCTGCCGCTGTCGCCTCCGTCTCTGGGCCACGCTTGTCTGCGACCGTAGCAGAGCCGCCCTGGCTTCCGCAGCTCTTCAGCCCTGTGCCCGGCCCCAGGGGCCCAAGCGGCTGCCGCCGTGGCTCTCCGTCCCCCTCCTCCGGAGCACGGGTCCCCTGGCAGGGGGGTGCAGAACGACCCCAGAGCAGGCTCTGCCCGAAGGTGCAGCGGCGAACAGGCCACCAAGATGCTCGAGGCTGCAGTCCAGCCTTCGGAGGACAGGGCTCGGCACACAGCCCAGCTCCAACCTCTAGGTGCGGCTGCCGGACCGTGTATACAGAGCCATCAAGACAGCAAGCAGAAAGCAAATGGCGGCTCCCGCGGAGTGGATTTTCGGCACAGAAACCACAGCCCTGCCAACAATCCCAATCCACAAACTCTCCCTGTATAAAAAATATTCAAAAGAAAAAAAAAAGGCGGGGCGCACTGAGCTTTCTTTGCCTCGGGTACTTACAATCCACTGCTGATTACACATTCAGCTTCTCCGCCCGGAGCGAAGCGAAAGAGGAAGCAGATGGGACCAAAGCGCCCGCGGCTCTGAGCAGCCAAGCGTCTCTTTTTCGATTTCTTTGTTCTTCCTGCTCCTTGGCAAAGTGGTCCGCTACAGATTAACGGTGAAATGAGCTCTAACAGACTGTGCGAAATCTCTATTAAAGCCGCTGTTTTGAGCACCACGCTCAGCACTTCAGCAACCCCCGTACGCAGCGGCCATCTTCTCTCCTCGATTTCATTTTTTAAAGTTTTTAGTTTATAACTTTCTTCTCTCGCTTTTCTGTTTCTCTTGATTCTCTTTCTTTTCTTCTGCTAAGAGCCAATTTCTATTGTTCTCACTTTCACTCTTCCTTTAATGTTTTCCTTCTATTTTCTCTCCTCCCCTCTCATAATTATCACCTCCTACCTCACTTCTGTTCTCTCCCAGTTCACCATTCAAAATTGCAAAGCCTTACTCTTTTTACTGCAGGCAATAGCGGATTACATCATTTCTTTTATAGTTTGCATTGATTGTTGTTATTATCTCTCTCCCCCTAACAGTGAGGTTCTAGAAACCTTCAGGGAAACTATAAGTCTACAGGGTAGGAACTCGACTACCGCAGATCCATACAGTTAGATGGGTAAACACACAGACAACATGAAAACATGACCAGAGTGAGATGGAATCTTGGCATAGTTTTGATTTGCATTTCCCTGAGGGCTAAAAATGTTGGACATTTTATCACTGTTGGCCACTTGTACGCCTTCAGAATACATTTTTTAAAACAATGAAGAGTTAATAAGAAGATGATGTAATTTTTAAATAGGTAAAGATTTGAATAGACACTTCACAAAAGATACACTTATGTTAATAATATGTGAAAATATGTTCCAAATAATTAGTCTTCTAGGAAACATAAAAGTTAGAATTTTGCTGAGAATTCCACCATATGGCAAAGGTTGACCAGATTCAACCTTGTGAAGATGTATATTGCTGCTAGGAATGGAAAATGATACAATGTCCTCTTTGGAGGATACCTGGGCAGTTTCTTACAAATCTTACAAATTTTCCACTAATCTTGAGAAAATTAATCAGACACATTTAAGACAGTACCTTTCAAAATTCCAAGGTCATGAAAAACAAGGAGTTGGAGAAACTGTCATAGACTCAGGAACCTAACACATGATAACTTAATATGTTGTTATATCTTGAACTGTATCTTACAACAGAAAGGCACATTCATGAGGAAAACAAAGGTAACATCTGAATGAAGTCTGCAGTGCAACGAAACGTGATAGCTATAGTTCCCTATCACTACAGAAGAAATTACCATGCTTTTTCTAGCCCACAGTTCTAGAGGTCTGAAGTCCAGGCACATTGCAACCAAGTTCTCTGCCCTTTGTCTTGCTCAGCTGAAATCAGGATATTCGGGAACTGTGCTCCCTCTAGAGGCCTGGGGAAGAACACACTCCAAGCTCCTTGGGGTCCATTTTTCTGCAGTTGCAGGAAAGAGGTTTTGGTTTCCTTGTTGGCTGCCAACAGCAGATCTCCCAGAACTGGAGACTGCTCTCAGAGTCTTGCTTCAGGGCACCTTCCACCTTAAAGTTGGATAAGAGAGTTTCACTCTTGCCAAATCCCTCTCAGGTACTGCATCTCTCTGACTTGCCTGCCTCTGATATATAGACCAAGACTAAAAGGTCTCCCGTGATTAGGGCAGGTCCACTCTGATAATTTCCCCATCTTAAGGTCAGTTGACCAAGCATCTTCTTGACTTTCACAAAGTCCCTTCCCAGCAACACCTCCATTAGAGTTTGATTAGATAACCAGGAGAAAGTGTGTGTACACCAACCAGGGCCCTTTCACTCCTGGGCACCATCTTGGAATTCTGCTTGCCACAGTGATGCACCAATGTTGGTTTCTTAGATTTTCCAAGTGTACCATAGTAATTAGGGGAAACAGAAACTGGGAATGGGTATAAGGAAATCCACTGTAGTATCTCTGCAACTTTCCTGCAAATCTAAAATAATACCACATAAAAGGTATAGTTCTTGTTGAAAATCCCAGTTAAATATGCCAATTCTTTCCTACTGGGACATAAACTGATGGAACTATTGTATTCAATTACTATAAACAATAATAGGGGAATGAAGATCAAGAAGATGTCAAGAAAGAGTAGAGGGAAGGAGAATAAGCAGCAGTTCATATTTATTGAGCATTTATTAAATACTAGACATTTTCTTAAGCACAAAAAAAGTTTTTTTTTAATCTCCAAAACAGGTCAGTAAGTTACTATTTTATTGGGTAATCACTGTGTTTTACAGATGTGGAATTGTAATAAAGAAGGTAGTATGGTTGCTCAAAGTCACACAGCTAATATGTGGTAGAACTGGCAGTCAAATTCAGATAATCTGATTTCAGAGAACTCACTCAGAAGCATCTCCCTGTCAGATCTCCGTCATTACCCACAACAACAACCCAGTCCTTCAGCCACTCTGCCCTCTTCTCAGAAGCTGAGAGCTTCCAAAGAATATAACATAGGCAGTAGTTTACATCTGACCCAAATACTTCTATCAATGTGATTCATCACCATAGAAGTCAAAACTCCATTGTCCCAACTGACTGCAGAAATGAAGAACTGATTCTCAGTCATGTGGGTCTTTTTCTCCCACCTCTATTCTTGGAGCTCAGAGCTCATTCAGATGAGTTTATGGTCATTTCTAAATACATTCTTAGGCATATAATATGATCAACTGCACTGAATTCTTACCAGGCTTAACTATTTTGAAACAAATTTGAATTATTAATTCATCTATCATCTCAAATGAGAACAAGAGGCAAGAGATTTATTTGAAAACCATTATTCACGTTGAAATTTTTCTTAAGTTTTAATTCTCAGATTTTCTCCTTTTATTACCTCAAGGAAAGACAGATTCTCTTTCATCTCTACATGAAGTTCCAGGACCCATTTCCACACCCCTGGGCAAATTGTGTGGCTGAATGGGTACCATGATTGGGCAGGCATGAGCCATGTGACCAGCTGAGGACCTGTTTTTCTATGATTGGCAATTTACCAGATTAGCACCAGTTAGCACTCAGATTGGATTTAAGCAGAAGCTTCTCTGCTTTTGCCAAATAGCATGTTACCCAACTGTATCTCCTGGATTTTTTCTAATATCAACCTTTTACCACTCACAAAGATGCCCAGATCCCCTTGTAAGCCCAGTGAAAGAGACCTTGGGGATATGGACTGAAGAGGCCCCATGTCTGTGGCTGGTGGGAAAATGCCAATAAAGGCCTGGACTGGAGCTGTGGTTGGCAACAGCCCTCGGTGTCTGTGTACCTGCTGGCAAATCCCTATTGCATTTTGAGTCACTGCGCTTCCTAAAGGCTTATTACTAACAGCTCCGATGAATCACTCCTCTCTTTCTTCCCTGCCTTTTTAAATAGGCGGGGAAGAGGTGCTCATCTGAGGTTGCCATGAACATGGGAGTGCAGGTATCTTCTGAAGGTGGTAATTTCATTCCCCTCAGTTTATACCCCAAAGAGGAGCTGCTGGGTCCTACAGTAGTACCATTTTTTATCTCCGCAGAGCCTCCATGCCATTTTCTACAATGACTGCACCCAACTACATTCACACCAACAATAACCCATGGTCTTTAAAGACACAACCTGTTTTAACTAACCATAGGTATTTAGGTGACTGGATTGTCACAACCTGGCTGTGAAAACCCTTTCACCTGGATTCTTCATCTTTCCAGAACCACCTGTTTTTCTTCCACAGAGCAGATTGCAAACTCCTTCTGGTTTATTTTGGTACTGGGAATTCAACTCAGGGGTGCTTTACCCCTGAACTTCATCCTCAGTGCTCTTTTTTGTTATTTTTTGTTTGTTTG